CTTGTTTCATTATCTCTGCTTTCTTGAGATTTTTAAAATAATGATTTTTAATTTTGGAAGCTGCATAAGTGACTGGATAAACTCTTTATCCCATCTATGTTACTTGGCGTCGAGCCCAGTAAAGACGGTTCTAAAGTTTGTGCAACTTCATTTAACTGTTGTTTGGCATCTAATGTCCCCTCTTTCATCACTTTCATCAGATCTTCAATTTTGCTAAGACCTTCATTCACTTGCTGAAACCCTTTTATTATTGTCTTTTGCATAGTAATCTGCCATTCCTTTTCTATTTCTTGTACAACTATTCCAAAACTTTGAGATTGAACAGACCAAGTCTCCATTTGATGTCTTAAATTTTTAGAGGCCATCTCAGGCTTTCCAATGAGTGGGGTTTGTATAGATGATACTAGGTCTTTAACCACAATGATCACCCCTTAGATATCCTTCAACAGTTTCCACAATTTTATCAACAATCCAAACCCATAATCATAAACCTCCCCTTAGATCTCCCTCCAATCTTTATCCAAATATTATAATATAAAAATCAGCTTTTAACCCAGCAAATTCAAATTCAAATAGAACCGTGGCACAGTTGTTTCTTCTTCTTCCGAGTCTAGCAAGCTACTATTATCAGACTCACACGCAGTCCGACAAACCAAACAACAGTCACAGACTCTCAGACTGCCCAGTAGTTGTCCTTGAAGCCTGTCTTCACAGAGTCCAGGAAAGGGAAAAGAAAAATACGTCCAAGCCAAACTGCATTCACAAAACTCAAGTCTCTTAAATCCTGTCCGGTGGTGTTACCGTCTGGGATTTTTTTCCAGAAACATAAGATTTATTTTTCTGTCTCACTCTCTCGGCTTTGAAACCAGCCTGCTATATTAAGAGTTAGTATTAAGAGTTAGTTTCGCTATTGAAGCAGACTGATAAAATAGGTTCGCCACTGCTTTTCTTCTTTCAGCCAAATATTTCCATTCTTATTTTCAGCTTAATGGGGCTGTTTCATAAATCAGATGCTTCAGCTTACTTAGTTGTTATATATTTTAACATTATATTGGTTGTTCTCTTCTCCTCCGGTAAAGGGTTACTCACGGCTCAGTGTCAATATGGCTCCCTGCCTCCGATCTGTGCTGGGTGATTTCTTCAGAGGGAAAAAGTCCAGGTTTGCATCCCATTCTTCTCCTTCTGCTGCTCACCAACTGCTTCAGAGAGAATTCTCCTAGACTCTCCTTCGATCCCCATTTCAAAAAGGGGATCCCGGACCGGACGGTTCCAGTTTTTCCAGAGAGCTCTTCGCTGGAGCTACTGGCAACACCGCAACAAAGCCCTGCCTCACCCCCACACCAGCGCCTCTGATGACTGCAGTGTCATTTGGAAACTGGGCTTCTCAGTGACAAAAACTGTTTATATTGTACACTGCCCCAAGTGATTATAGTTGAGATGGGTGGTTTAGAAATTAAATCAATATTCTCCCAGAGGGGCTTGTCTATCTCGGCTCCATATTAGAAGGAGAGATTCAAGAAAAAAAAACACATTGAACCATCTCCTCAGAAATCTATGGTATCATCTACCTGATGGCTTTCATATGCACTTCTGTATTGGATAAAGTACGATGATGAATGCTCAGCTTCTTCTTATCACACTTAGTCTCGAATACATCACTTGGAATTTATGTGGCTCTCCATAATAGGGGCCATCCACCCTTTAATGTGAGGGTGTTCCCAATACCAGTTGCACACAGCCTGCACCTGTACTTGACTTAACAGCTTGGAGAATATATCTCATCCTCTTTCTCTTGAACTATTGATATTGAGGACTGCCAGAAAGCCATCAGCAGTAATGTCCTATGAATTGCTTTTTCACTAATGACAAGGGCCTGGAAACTATTACGTGCAACAGTCCTTGAGTGCTACAGTTCCTCTTCATTCTTCAGCAATGCAACATGTCCTGTGCTTCCTGTGCTGCTCAGGCATGTTGTACTTCTTTTGCATATCAGAAGGCACTTTTTAGAGATCCCTGTGTTAAAAATGCAGTATCCCCATTACCTACAATTGTGTCCATTGTTTAGGCCCAGTTGACTAAACCTCCCTTTAAGCCATTGGCTATGTACCACATGCACATTCTGTCATGGAAGACAATATTTTTGTCATTATCACATCTACACAAAAATTCTTAGAACTTGGCACTCTCCATTCTGATCCTTCCTACTTCAACGTCCATGTGGGCAAGGTGGTACGCTACCCCAATATTCCATTTTTCTCCAAGGTTGTTTCCTCCTTTTACCTTAATCAGGACATCATGTTGCTATCCCTTTTTCAAAATCCCACGTTTTGAAATAACTAAATAACTTTGATGTGAGGGAGACTTGCATGGTTTTTTTTTCCAGAAGAAGGAAGTAATGGTGATTTATTGATTCACCTTTCTGTAAAGTGGTGTTTCAAGGACTGTACTTATTGTTATAATTACACAATTGCAGTTCAAGCTAGATTGTACAGTTACTGTAATCAAAGGCTTGTACAAACAAAGTTGCCAATTTAAATGTGTGCTCTAAAATATTTCAGAAAGAGGATAGGGCTGCATTTTGACTGCTTTCTGAACAGCCTCCAGTTTCTCTCATTTTTCTTGGCATAATCATTGTTTTCATATTTTCATGGCTGATTAACTTTTAGGAAAACAATTGATTGTGTGCATGCCTCTTTAATGCTGTTCAAGACCAGAGCATAGAGTGCTGTCCTCTGAAGATGCCAGCCACAGAGACTGGCGAAACGTTAGGAAGAACAACCTTCAGAACACGGCCAAAGAGCCCGAAAAACCCACAACAACCACTGTTCAAGACTAATCATGTTCCTAACTTATATGAGGTAGTGATAGCCCTAGTTTGAGTTGTAAGGGATTTATCTTTCAGTCTAGACAATCTGTCTTTACTGGTGAATACGTAAACTAACTTCCTAAGTTGATTAGTGCCGTAATTGAAATAGAGGGCCTCTTTAGAGTAAACAAACTGTTGGGTAGTTGCTGAAGATTGAAAAGTATGAAGCTTTTACTTGTATAGACATTGCATTCCAACAGTATTGGAATCTGTGGCTCCTTGGACAAATTCAAAGAGAGAAGTAACTCACCTAAAGTACACCACACAGTTTTCAGGTGTACTAAATAAATGTTAGCGATCTTAAATGTTGAGTGGCTTTCATGTTTAATGAATGAGCTTCTCTTGTGTTAATTTCTTTTGTCTTGATTGTACAATGTAGGAAGAATTAAATGAATCAGATTAGATAGATAGATAGATAGATAGATAGATAGATAGATAGATAGATAGATAGATAGATAGATAGATAGATAGATAGATAGATAGATA